ATCCGCGACACGGTAGCTCTGTATGCACCTTGATAGGGAGTCGGCTTTGGCAGTGTGTCAAAGTGGTCAGTAAAAATCTTACTTTACAGTGCGAACTCCAAAAAATTGAGATATGGTTGATAGAATAGTGTAGACACCCCCCTTCCCCCTACCAGACCAATCTGCAAATGAACCCCAATCCAAAATACATCACCCCCCCCCCCTCACCCTCCCCTCCGCCTTCTCCCGCTCGTCGTCACATAAGTGAGTGAATAATGGACGTTTTTGTGAGCACAACCGGGACGCCGTGGAGGGCAACACACACACGGCTACGGCGCGGCGGCGTCGTGGAGAAGCACTGCCGAGTGTCAGCTCAAGGTCAGGTGGCCGGGCGGCGCGGCGGGCGTTCTGACCGGCGGGGCAGCCTTTGGCTTTAGCCAGCCCAGAACAAACAGGCCCGCAGCCCGTCATCGAAACCCATGTCAAAATGATAGAATCGACAGCAGCAGGGTACAGGAGATCGGCGCCTGCGAGAAGCAACGCAGGCCACCCCGCAGTACACACATGCACTGCAGGCAAGATGTTATCTACCTACCAGGGGCTTAGAGTTTAGAGCTTGCAGTTGCTGAACTTGGTGCAGGTTCGTAATGGCGAACGACGGTCATTTTGTCTGGATAATCCCACTGGTCCGCTTTGGGCTGCCTGTGGTCTGCCTTTGGGCCGATTTTGGTCCGCCTTTGGGCCGCCTTTCGACCGCCTTTTGGCCGCTCTTGGACCACCTGTGGGTTTGGGGTGCCTTCGGTCGCGGAGGGAGCGGACGCGAGGGACGTCACTCCACTCTCGCACGCGGCCACGCGCCACGGAGCCTGCGGAAGTCGTCCACCGGCCGGGGCCGGGGTAACAAGTCTTCCATCGTCGGCCTCGGTGACTGCACCGGTAGATTTCGAGTAATTTCGCTAAATTGGTCCCAGCAGCAAGCCTTTTCCCTAAGTTAAGGCCACGCTGTTTAAATTTTAGTCCGGACAGGACAGGTACACCACCGATCTTTTCAACTGCGCATTAATTTTTCCGCATTAGCACTGGTTGCATTACACGTCTCTGTGCTCGAAGCTTCCATTCGAGCACTTCACCACGCACCCAAAAGGAGGAAGTCCCGCGGGCGCCATCGTCACATATCGCGGCGATTAAAACGTGTATACCATGATTAGGATTATAATAAAAAAAAAGAACGGATGTAGCAGCAGATTGAAAGGCGCAAGGCGCTTCTTTTGGCGGAGCCGAAGGCCGCGCGTTTTGACACGCGCCTCTATGTGAGCGAGGGGAATAAGATCACCCGGCAAAAGGCCCGAACAAGCTGATAACAACCTGCCTCGCAAAACGAGCACAGAGCAGCGACACCGGGGTGGCGGATCGAGGAGTCTGACTTTCTGACCGACTTCGACTTCCACACAGCAGGTGGTATATTTGGTATTCACTTGTGGAGGCCATCATGTGAATTACTACATTACGTATGCAATCAAGAAGTCCGCTTGCATTAGCATTACATAAAGTAAAAAATTCTATATAAGTTATGGCTAAAATTGTGCATAACGGGGTAAGTTCGTTTAAAATTCTGCAGATTTATGCACACCTAAATGGATTGGTTTGGCCTGGAACTCGGAACATGACTGAAAGTGACTGGAAAATAAATGACAGGGCGTGACTGGTTGCAGCCCCGTTCACTGATTGGACGCAGTGTTTACGGGGCCGCGTTGTTGGGGGAATTTCGGTCGGAATAATTACGCTGGCACTACGCTAGTATTACAAAGTATGCAGGACACCGTGGAAGTATGGGGTGACACACGAGTGAGTACCCCACGGTGCGACACCGGCGTTGGGTCCGGGAGTCCGCGTGAAGAAAAAGGAGCGCTGCATCGTCAGCTCAAGGCATTAGCATGGGTGCCCTGGGTGTGCACGGGCAGAAAAAGGATGTGTCGAAATTACGTCCGATCTTAAAACTTCGCGCATCTAATCGACGGCGCTGAACGGGGTGTATTAAGATTGTCCGACCTATTTTCCTCCAACCTCGTTGATATGCTGAAATTTGGGAAGAATGTGCTTCAAAGAGGAACGGGCTTCAGAGGCACTTTAAGTGCAGTGAACGAAAGACCGCGACTGTGACGAAGTGCAGCCCCACGTCACAGAACAGTCAAATGTCCGCTCGGGGTCGTAAATGGTCAAGCCGGGTCAAGCCCAAAAGCCCGGTCAAAAAAATTAAAAATAGGGGAATACGGGGTGTAGTCCATGCTGACCCAGCTGACCTCTCACCAAAGTAACCCATAAGAGTTATCCCTGGACCTGCACCCGGACGTTTGGCGCCACCGCCGAACCGGGAGAGAGGTGTGCAGTCGCTAAAAGAGCGATACAGCGGATAAGTCCTGGCCGATCCCTCACCTAAGCAACCCCCAAAAAGTTGTCGCCATCTTTTGATATGTTGTTCTACGCACTTCAAAACGCACAAATAAGTATAAGTTGTGTGAACAAGAAAAAATATTTCTTCACACTTACATTTTTTTTAGCAGTCAGCGACAGCGTAGAATGGATCGTTCCCTGGAGCGATAAACCGTATCTCGCCTCTATGGCTCAGTCGGTAGCGCGCCCGCCCCCCAGACCGTGGGAGGACGGAGGTTCGAATCCCCGTCGATCTGAAATTTTTCTCAGGCCACCAAATTTCAAATGGACCTCAAACCCGTCATTTCACCTCGCCCCTCTTGTGGTGTTCCGATGGCGTAGTGGTTACCATTGTTGGTGGCACTGCGTCATAGGTGTCAATTAAGTGTCGGCTCTGGACCGGGGTTCGCGCCCCGGTGCCTGGCACCTCGCTGTGGTAGCGGGGTGCATAATAAGACCTAGAAACTGGCTGAAAAGGACTCCATGACCTGTGGTGGGTCAGTACAGTTTAACCAACGTACGCCTCAACCGTCTCACAAACCCCGGGAGTATGTTCTGACCACTGCGGTTGGGAGCGGCTGTTCGGAACAGAGACCACAGTTCGCTAACTACTGCGGTGGGATGAGGAAAGTACTCCCCCATTTTTATTTTTTACTTTTGAAGCCTGTTCCTCTTTGAAGCACATTCTTCCCCAATTTCAGCATATCGACGAGGTCGGAGAAAGATAAGTAGGACAAAACCGAGGTGGGACAGCACTTTTGGGGATTTTGGGAAAATTACCAGGTCGGAGAAAAGTAGGCCGGACAATCTAGCTGCACCGGGGAATACGCCCTTCACCCCGCAGTCGGCGGCGACTTCTGAGTTCGTAAAGGGATCAGCCGCTTCCAACCACATGTGCTCATCAGAACACACTCCCACTACCGGTTGTTGGACTTAGAGTTGTCGCAAGGTGAGCAAAACTGAAACCCAGATTACGAGACCTTACCCCCTAGAGGACTGTTCTTCCGTCCCGAGGGGTACGCGGGTATCGAACCCACAACCCCGAATGCCGAATCCAATCGCCAGGCACAGCGACCCTGCCACGAAAAGCTACCAAGCCAACGGAGGTGAGCTGAATTCCGAGCCTCGAGTAGAACCGCCGACCTCCCACGATTTGGGCTGGTGCTCTACCGTCTGAGCCATAGAGGACGCGTGGCGCAACCGCTATCGCAGGTTAGGTCAGGGGTAAAAATGTAGGATGTGAAGGTAATTTGTGTTTGTTCACAGATATTTTTCAAGTGTATGTTTGAACCTCGGTGTGAACAAAAATTTTGTTCCTGAGAATGTGATGACGATCTGATGCAAGAATAACTTCACTTTAAAATTGCAAGTTCTCCCTAATATTACTGTCAAATCATTTCAACCAAAGGCATCATTTTTATTGATCTACAGGATGGTCCACAGACCCCTTCCTTTATTTTGCTTATACTGTACCGGATGCAGGCGTGCGGGCGGGTTGCATACTCGTACGGGGCTATAAGGCGCCGCGGTGAGCGACGGTAGGCAAGCCCGCCCGCACGCGTGCATGCGGTACGGTATAAGCAAAATAAAGGAAGGGGTCTGTGGACCACCCTGTATTTTTCTTTCTTTTTCTATTTTGGTTGGGGGTGGGGGGTGGGGGAGTTGCGACCCTCTTTCGCCCCCCGTTGTTCAACCTTGACACCGTCGCGTACAAGCAAGACCTATACACACGATGTGTGCTCCCCTTGCAGAGCCTCGGCCGCCTCGGCAGCGCCTCGCCGCGTACAGTCCGCGCGCGCATACATTTCTTAAACAAGCCGGGGCAGCAGTTTCGCACTAGGAAGGACGAGCGAGTATACGAGAGCACGCGCGGGGGCCTCCGCGGAGGTCAGGGAACACGAAAAGTGTCCCGACAGCAGCGCGCGGGGCACATCGTGTGCTGCTGACGTCAGATGAGTCAAATTTCAGAAGCGCTGACCGGTGGTGGTTCGCTGCAAGGAGACCGTTTAAAAAGAACCAGACGTGACACTCTTGGCTGGAGGGTTGTATCGCCCACGGACCAATCATTTATTAACGAAGGCGCCAAGTTTCGGCGTCTTTGCTTGCCAAAATTTGTTTTCTAAAGCGGCCAAACACTGTGAGAAATAGAAGGAAGGTTTACAGGAAAATTTTCCTTGACGCAAGTTGTATGAGATTACAATTCGTCATCGTAAAAAGAATGATTTAAATGCAGTACGTATCGTCTGAAAATCCACTGTCGAAAAATTAATGCGCTCTCGTAAATTTAATCTACGATATTTGAAAGTCGACCTTATTTTAAATAGAGGCCATAATTTCTACAAGGTAATAGGCAAGAAAATGCCAGTCTTTACAATAAAGGCCATAGGGATGACAACATTTTTGTAAAGCAAAGTGACCAAGGCGTTTTGAGTAAAAGCGGGCTTGTTGAAGAAGTGCAAGCTCCAGTTTGAAACATTTCGCCTTCTGGTAATCGTCCTCCATCGCGGCATGCGCACAGCGCTCAGTCAGGGGGAG